AAGCAGGCCCAGGTGATGGGAGAGGAGGCGAGACGGTGGGGGGAGAGTTGAGCTAGTGAAGCAGGTCGTAACCAGTGGTCCCTGTGAGCTGGGCACTAGGGCAGCCGCTCAGGAGAGAGTCCAACGCCGCCCAGCTGGGTGTGTGGTGCTACTGGTGGTGCACATCCACCCATGCATTGGTGCACATACATTATTCCGCACACAGGTGGAAAAAATCTGCACATGGCTGAAAGAGATGAGAGGGTTTGGGGACAGTGCAGGGCGGGGACTTGGGGGCTCAGTGCAGGGTGCGCGGGTGGGGGCCAGAGCATGGCGGGGGTGACCCCGCCCCCGCCCCCTCCCCCGGCTGCAGTTTCTCCGCATGGGCCTCCGCCAGGGCCGCTTGCTCCTGCTGCTGCCTCTCCTGCAGCTGCTCCTCCAGAGCCTGCACCTGAGGGCAGGGGTGGGGGCAGGAGGGGCGGGGGGGGGTGGGGGGGGCACTGTCGGGAGGAGCTGGGGCTGCCAGCCACCCGCCCCGGGAGCCACGCGGGGACCAGGGCCAGCTGGTGAGCCCAGGGAGAGTCCGAGTTGGGGACATGGGACCAGAGAGTGGGGGCAGGGGGTGGAAGACCCGTCCCTGCTGGACAAGGCAGGGGCTGCTGAGGAGCCGGCTGAGCCCCCGCGGCCGGGTGGGGGGGCGGGGGGCGGGGGCCCGCGCCCCCCCCTCCCGCCCCCCAGCCAGTCTGACGGGCCAGCGAGCTCGGGGAACCGGGCCCTGGGGTCGGCCCATCAAGACTCAGGGGGTCAGCGGTGGGATGGGCTGGCAATGCGCCCCTCCCCCGACCTCCCACTGCTGGAGCCCGCAGCTGCCCAGGGAACCTCCCCCGGGCATGGGCCGTGGTGGGAACCCCCAACCTTCTCCAGGTGCTCCTGCTTGGCCTCCTCCAGCGTCCGCGTCAGGCTCGCCACCTCGTCCAGGGCCTGCAGCAGCTGGGCGCTGGGCGCCGCGTTCTGCAGCAGGATCATGCTCTGCCTGTTGGCCTCCTTCTGCTTCACCAGCATCTGCGCCGGAGAGATCGGGGGTGTGTGTGTGCACATGTGCAGGCGTGTGTACATGCATGTGTGCATGTGTGTGCGTGCATACAGGTGTGTGCATGTACATACATGTGCATGTGTGCGTGTGCACATGTAAGTGTGTGCATATGTGTGTGTTTGTGTGCATGTACGTGTGTGTGTTCATGTTCAAGCACATGTGTGCGTGGGTGCATATGTGTGCGTGCATGTGCGTGCATGTGCGTGCATGTGTGTGCGTACATGCAGGGGTGTGCATGTGTGCGTGTACATATGTGTGTGTGTGCATGCGCACATGTAAGTGTGTGCATGTGTGTATTTGTGTGCATGTATGTGTGTATGTTCAAGTACCTGTGTGCATGTGTGCATGGGTGCATACGTGTGTGTGCATGTGCATGCATGAACGTGTGTGTATGTGTGTGTACGTGTGCATGGGTGCTCATGTTCAAGTACATGCATGCATGTGTGTGCGCACATGCATGTGTGTGCGTGTGCATGTGTGTGCATGTGCACGTGCATGTTTGTGTACATGTGTGCATGCGTGTGTGGCTTATGGGCACCGTACCCACCGCTGAACAAATCCCGCTGGCCACATGACTCAGCCACCCTTTGGCGTGTGCTTCGACACAGCAAAGAGACGGGTCCCTTGGCCCCTCCCCGCCCAACTCTGCCCCCCGTGGGTCCAGCGTTGCCGCCGGGCGATGCGGTGAGGGACGTGATGGCTGCTTTGGGACTGAGCTGTCACCGGGCTCTGCTCTGGGCTCTGCCACTGACCCGTGGGCTGACCCTGGGCAAGTCCCTTCTCCCCGGGGCTCGCTCTGCATCTGTGAAAGGGTTCTGCTGGGGGCGCGTGGTGCACTTCGTGGGGAGCGTGCTCCACCCCGCGGCCCGTCCCAGGCCACAGGCGGGCTCTACGAGCTCCAGTGCGCCCTGGGCCAGAAGCTGGGGGACTCAGGAATTTGCCCTTTTCCTCCCCTCAGCCCCACCCGGCCAGCTGGGGGGCTGGGCTGGCAGAGGCTGCGGGTCCGGAGGGAGGGGCAGTGGCAGGGCTGGGCTGGGAAGGGGACAGGACTGGGCTGGGAGGGCTGTGGGTCGGGA